AGACATGGGAACTCACAGCTTGAAGTCAAAGTTTCCCTCTCAAGTACCTAGGAGTAAATAACTTTTTTTTTTTCCTCCCCTTTTTTGAGGGTGGTGTTATTTTGAGTGCAGGGTTATGGAAAATGCAGTACCTGCTTCCGAAATAATGCATGGTGTCATGCACAAAAGTTCAAGTTTTAAGTCTTTGCTCAAGTGAGCAATTATGATTGCAAATTCAGCCTGGAGTGTGATTTCTTGATTTATTTGTTTTTTCATTTTTTTTTCTATGCAGAGCTGAGCAGTTGTACCTCTCTGTTAATACAAGGTTTTGGTGTATGACATGGAAGGGATGCAAAAAGGAGACATTGAAAGAAATGTTCACCTGTTTTGATGCTGGACTAGGCATCTGTTATTACACTTAACAAGAGAAGATCAGTTAGTAGAAAATTTAGCGTGACAAAATATCAGAAGTTAATGGGATTTGAGTAAAATTATTCTGAATTCTGGTAATAATAGCAAGTTCTAGAAATATAAATAGAATGAATTATTAATCAGTTATGGGCTTCATTTTGGATGTCAGACTTAGGACATATGAGGCTTATTTCATAAATGTTTTTTACAGAGGGAGTATGTGTCAGTGGCCCCAGTAATGAGAAAATAACTTGTGATTCACTGTTTGCTAATTGAGTACTTGGAATATTTTGCCAAATAGATTATAATTGTAGAACAAGGTTTTCAAGCTTTTCTAGCACAGAGTGCTCAGAACAGACCACAGGGCAGGAAACCCTCGTGCACCTTAGCGTAAGAAGAACCAAGACTGGCACATGCAATGTATCTTGGACAGAAAATGTCCAGAAGGTATTTTTGCAGCATTCCTCTATGTGAAAGCTGAATGGAGCAGCACAGTTTTACTCTGGGATAAATTACTGTTGTTTGCTATGCAAATCTTACAACTGTAATTAGGCTAGGATTTGGACTGTTATGTACGCTGATCTTTGTTCCCTCTGTGCATGGGAGCTAATTCTAATGCTGCAAAACAGCACAGCAAATGTCAAGTGCTGCTCAGCCGCCGATTGTTTCTCACAGGGTGTATTTGCTTGAAGTGGACAAGTTAAAAGGAATGATTTACCTCTGCCTTCAAAGGGGACATGTATTGTACTGCAGGCATCTTGTGGGCCACTGAATTGTTCAGGTACTGTAAAGTCTTGCTTGAAAGTAGAGGGTGGAGAAAATGCAGGAAGGACGTCCTGATAGGCATCTACTTTTTAGCAAACTGGTTTTAAAAAGTGATGTTCTGCTGCTGATTGGTGAAGGAGCTGGTGGCATGTTTGAGCTATCACGACAGTGATTGCAGTTCCTAGTATGGCTATGTATAGCTGCTGTTATCTCTGCAGCCGGACTCCGTAACCGCAGCCCGTGGCTCCTTGCCCACGCTAATGAGCTCTCCCCGAGGCCGGGCTTGTGCCTGTGGGGGTGGCACAGTGCTCCAACGGTGCTGCTGTTTTGGAAACCAGTTTGTTGACTGTGCTCAAGTCCAGCTTGCCCAAGCTGTTGTGCCAGCTTGGCTACTGTTGGCTGTGGGAGCTCGTCCCCGTGCAGTGTGGCTGGCCCCAGAGCTGTCGGGAGGATGAGGCACGCTGGCCACTGAGGGCTGCCAGGCTGTGTAGTCTGCAGCAAAGGAGAACTGTCACCTAGACCTGGACTGGGGGGAAGCACCAGCATGGTGAGGACGGTACAGGTGAGCCACACTCTCAGCCCATTCTCCTCCCTGGGAGCATGGGTACCAGCGTGCGGTGAGCTCATGTGGTGGAGTGCGTCCTGCAGGCAGAGGGTGTCATTCTTCTGATGGTCCAAAGAGCAGGAGAAAGCCATGGCTGCTGCTGACCATGCCTCCCAGTAGCTGGGAGACGTGGGAATAGAAGCATTCGGGTGCAGGGATACCAGGCTGAGGGTGTACAGATGTGCCCTTCTCTTAGCCCCTCCAGCAGCATTCGCAGGGGGTGAACACCTCGTCCTTGCAATCAGGTGGTGGCTGCACACCCACAACCTGGTCGAGTCTGCACCTGCACCCATGCTGGGCTCTCCTGGACACCTGCCTCCCCACTGCTGCAACAAAGTTCAGCAAAATAAAAATCTTAACAGCTACAAGATCTATTAGCTCCTGTAGTTTTGTCTACGGATAGATGAAAAGGCATTATTTGCATTTTTTTCAGAATCGTTGCAAAGAGAGAGAAAGAATGAAGAAGTACCCTCTAGGGGACAATATAGTACTGTTGTTCTAAAGATGTAGCAAATGATACAATCTGGTTTTTAACATCTTGTAACTCCTGTGAATCTCATTTGTTTCTTTTTCTTGCCTACTGATCTAAATCACAGCAAAGCAGAGAAACAGTGGCAGTTTTACTTTTTCTTGCATTAATTTTGTTTGTGTAAATACAGTTTAAGGGGGCAGGGAAACTGAAAAAGCATCGAGGTACTGAAGTGCCTAACAAAAAGCAGAAAAAAAATCTTCACAGGAAGTGATTTTTCTAACCAAGTGTATTTCATTTCTGGCGCTGATGTGACAAAGTGTATGTTGTTTCCATAGCTGGATGGTCTGTATTTCAGAAGATGTTAAAATGTGTTATGAGCATTGTTGTTGACAAAAATGCATTTTACTTAATTAGCCAAGTTAAAAGGGGGCATAAAATCTGTGTGAACTTTGCAAACTGGTTGCCACACTGCAGCTCTCTATATATTCCTTCATCAACAGCATCTGTAATTTAGCTTTTAAATACAAAGGATCATGACTTGGTCTGTAATTATCCCTGAGGAAGAATGTGAACTGGACAGTTTTACACTGTTAGTTTTGTGGAGAGAAATTACAAAGATCCCTGTTCCCCAGGGTAGTCCCTGAAGTTACTGTGTTTGCAGTGCTCCAATCCTGTGGTTCTGGTACACCTGGCAATTTTTAGAGTGCAGTAAATTCAGAGTCAGAAACTAACATGCTGGGGTGGGGTCATAAATACTGTGTAGTGAACATAATTCGAGTATGCCTGTTAAATAACTGAAGTCATCTAGTTATCTTCATGTGCCATGTAATGAAACATAAAAAATCTTAGAACAAGTCTTGGGCAGCTCTGGATTGTTCAAAGTGTTGTGCAGCTATGCCATGTTAGCAAGGTGCTTAAAGGCACTTCCAGCTCTGCAGCTAATTTCAGTCAGAGCTAGCTGATGACTTTGTCATGCTGCTAGGCATGCTGCCTGGGGAGCTGTCTCTGGGGCTGCAAGTCTTGGGGGCACACTCAACACCCGCTCCGATACAAAGCAGTCCCTGATTTTGGAGGAGTTCCTCCCCAGCACCCACACCTCGTGTCTTGGATCTGGAGGACCAAGGAGGGTTAGCTAGTGGAGCACTAGTGCTGAATTTGGAGGTCGATTCAAGGGACACCCTTTTCCCCTGCTTTTGCTTCCCAGTCTTCCTGCAAGCTGCCCACCCTGGGGCCTGGGCGGTGGGCACTGCCCTACGGTGGCTGGAAGGTTTGCTCAGGAGGTTGGTAGTGATGAATCACAGAGGTATGGCATGGATTGATAAGGTCGTGTACTTTATGATTAGACACATCCTTCCTCTAACAGCAGTTCTTTGTCTCCATTTTGCTTTCGGTAATGTGTTTCAGCAGTTTGCATACAATGACTCTCCAAGCAGGAGCTGTTTGACTTGAGACAAAGTCACTATTATTCTAGGTAAGCTCAGGAAGCCCTCATAATTTTGTTGCACTCAGAAGGCATGGACTGTTGAAATTCATTTAAAAGTCAATGAAGTTAAATCACCGAGGAAAATTTTTTTTTATTGCAACCTACCTGTAAATGACTTTTAGGTGCATAAACCAGTGTATAACAAGAAAAATCTGCTTTGCAGGTATGTTGTTGGGGGGTTTTGTGCCTTTCAAGTGATGGCTGTAGAGGAGCATGTTCTTTATCTGTAGCACTACTTTAAAAAAATGTATTCCAGCTGTTCATAGTACAGGTGTGCAGCCTGGGAGCCATGGCAAAAGAAAACTGTTACATGGTCCCCAAATTACTGAAAAATATGCACTGTTGTAGTGCCTGCAGCCTGACCAACACACATGTTTATCTCCTCATTTAGAGTTGATGGAGAACCCAAAGAACTCAGTAGGAACACTTCAGGTTGATTTGGGGAGATTTTGGACTAGGTGTGTAATTTAGTCAAATGACAATTTGTGTTTACGAACTGAGCTACCCTGAATATGGCATTTATGATGCTACTGTACCTCCTCAAAGACCATCTGTGGTGTCTCTCCAGGCAATGTCTCCTGAGCCCTTTATGCTTCACTTGACATCTCTTTGGTTATGAGCCCGTCTGTGGTGGAGCCTTACTTCTCCTGCCTCAGTCTCTGCTACAGTGTTCTGTGGCTCCCTTGGACTTTCTTGGCTGTTCTGGCTCCCCTCCTCTGCTCCTTATTGTTGCTTACTGAATAGACTTGCTCAGCAGAGTTTTCAGGAGGAAAACAAATCGAGGTAGTCATGGATGACCAATATCAGCTTTTCTTTTTAACTCAGTCATAAAGCATTGTTGGCTCACTGGTTTGGTTTCTACTGTCTATAAAAAGGTTTTGTGCAAGAAGTCCCCTTTTTCCCATCGCCCTGTGTGACACCAGTGCCAAGATGACCTTCTGCTGGAGAGTCTCATTGCTCAGTTGTGTCACTGCTCCATATGAGTTTCCCTGGCAACCAGTTGGAGCTGCACTGAACCAAAAATATCTCACTGTGCTGGAGGAAAGTCAGTTTGCAGACATGTATTTCTCTTTAATAACTTCTCTGGATGGTCTGTGTGTTCAGCCTGCAGATGTCATTATTGGGAACCAACAACTAGGAGATGTGCTGTGCCCCTTTTCCTTAGTTCCACAGGCATTGTGGCCTACGAGAAGGCTGCCCTTGCATGATTGTCAACTGAGTTGTGACTGTAAGATCCATCACACTCATTTTTCATTGTACACTGAGGGTCTCGTCTTCTGCTGAGAATGGTCTGTGCAGCAGACACAAAGTCTGTCTTGGGCTCCTCGGACCTCTGCAAATTACGGAATCACAGGATGGGTAAGGTTGGAAGGGGCCAGCCTTACCCAGGTGATTACTAGCAACTTTGTCCTTTGTAAATATATGCACCTTGATTTATAGGTGGGCATGCAGTGAGCTCCAATTTTGCTGCCATCCTAGTCTTCAAAGGCACAATTTGACACCTCCATATAAACGTGTATAAATCCTTGGAGGTCAGGACCCACCAATTCACACAGGAAAGAATGCACAAACTGAAGGTGTTATTTCAAAACTTTCCTAGTTCAGTTTTCACTTGCAGATAATCTTTTCACTACCTAATGGAGAACACTGGTATGAAGAAAAGTAGTTGTAATTCCAGATATGTTTCAAGGTGACAAAATTAGAGGAGACTGAATTGGAGAACAGCGTGTCATTTTATTAACAGGTTCCCTTTTCTGGATTTGTAGGGTGTGAGGATTGCGGTAAAAGCCTTATAGGAGAATGCAAACTCCACGGACCACTCATCAGGGCTAAGGATAGGGTTATTCCTAGCCGAGCGCGTCTCACCCTACCTCACTACCTCACTTTGCGAGTCTTGGAGCTGCGAGCTGGCAACCAGCAGAGTAAGTATTTTAGCTCTTTTTCACACATTTGAGAAAGAGGAGGCAAAATACTAGCACTGCCTTGTTTTCATGAGTGACTCAAGGCATCATCACTGGACATTAGCAATATGAAAACTACTTTATTTTCAGCTGAGCACAAGGAAAGCTCACATTCAGCTACTGATTTCTACTAACTTAGATGCGTAGATGAATGGCAGGACATTAGCCAGAGCTGGTGTGATATTTAGCTGTCAGCAACCAGTTAGCTCTGTTCAGTCAATCCAAGTTTAATGAATGTTCAATTTGTATCTAATAGTAACAGCCATGTACTATTATTTTTTTTCTTTTCCTCAAGCATTCAAAACAGGAAAGATTATTCTGTAAGAGGTCAGAGACAAAATGGTAAATGACATCACTCATCCACCCCTTACAAACTCAAAAGATCACAGTGGGGTAGTTTACCTTTTGCAGCATCTTCAGTTCACATTATAGAAAGACTGTTGTTTCCTTCTGAAAGCAAGGCAATTTGAGTGCCCAAACTTGAACAAGGGAACCATGTCCTTAGTGTGCAAATTTTCCACAGTTACCTGTGTAAAATTAGTCCTGCCAAGGTTGCATTTCAGAAAGAGAATGACAAGATGTCTGTTCTGCCACTCCATTGGTATGGTAGGGGAATAACTAGAATGATTAAGACGGTTAATGTTGTGTTTTTATAGATTCTCTCCACTCATATTGGGAAAGAACAAACTTGCAAATTATGCCAACAAGCAGAGCACTATGATAACATCAACTCGTAGACTGAAGAGTATCAACACATTTGTATTGCATAGTCAGTTTAATGTCCTGTCATAGAGTTCAGGCACTTTTGTATTCAATGTAGTACCCATTTAAAAAAATATCAGTACTTATTTACATTCTGTTTAGATTCTTCATTAGAATTATTTATGGAGCTTATTTGTCTATAAAAAGAATTCATGTGTTCTGTGCTATTTTGTTTATCTCCATTTTCATAGATCTAAACATACAAGAAATAATTTGTGATGTCTATACTAATATTAGACTGGTCTTTTTTTGTTCACAGTCCTTGGAGTGTTTGCAAAGAAAGTAATACAGAAGAGAACACAGTTTGGTCCTTATGTTGGTCAACTGTCTACAAAACTGACCTGCTATGATGAGAGCAGGCTAGTCCTGCAGGTAAAAATCCACCGACTTTCTATGAAGTGCATATGTGTCTTTAACAGTTCATATGTACTTGTGTCAGTTTCCATCTGATCTAGTTAATTAATTGTATTTTTGATCTGTAAGTATTAATGTAAATCATATTATTAGGCAGGGCAGCATAAACTGAAGTACCAAAATGTTCCTGTATATTGTGTTTTCTAGAAGTTTGCTTTCCTGCTTTCTAGTTTTACCATTTCCAGAGTGTTAGACCTATCTAACCACTCTTGATAAACTTTTCACAGAGCATGGCTACTGGACTGTCTTCCCAGATAACACAAAAGGATTTGTGCTTTACACTGTGCCACTGGGAGGTTTAAGTTTGTGCACTGAGTTAGCAATAGTGGCAGAAATATGTGCCATAGTAGGTACCTGTTTAGTAGGTAGGAACAGTGCAGGGATGGGGAAACACTTTTTAATGATGTGTTAATTTATATTATATATAAGCTTTGACACAGAGTGCACTGACTCAGTTTATTTAGTCAGATTTTTATTTAGGGCTGGTACCATCTGTTGCTGCACATGCAGGTAATGATCATCTCATCTAGACCATGACACTACCATTTGTACTTTATCCAGAAAAAATAGTGACCTCTCAGGACTAATCCAGTTTAGACAAATCTACATGCATGTCCTTTCCCACAGGAATTCCTTGGGAGTGATAGTTGATTGTAATCCTCTAGGTCTCAGTCTTTGCATTTTGCTGCATGGGGTCATGCCTGGGCACACCTTTGTGTCACACAGTGAGTCCATGATGGTCAAGTCACAGCCTCTGTCAGGACTCACAGTTCTTCTACAGTCCGCATTTCCTATCAGGCCTTCTCACCCCTGAGTAGAGAGACACCAGCAGCAGCTGTCCTGTGACACACTTGTCTGAGCTTTCTCCAGAAGCTTGGGACTGGAAAACACTGTGTGTCATGAAGGAAATACTTTCATAATTTTTTTTGAGAGCAAAAGTAATAGCTTCAGTAGTTGCTGTAAACCTCATTTGCACATGGAAATCATGGGAATGATCTGCCAGGGAAATAACACTGTCCTGTGGGATTTTCATGGCATGTTGACACCAGAAAGGATTTGTTCTCTAAAACTGAATTTCTTCAGTCTTTTTATGAGACACTAATTCTTACAAATGCAGAAAATGTAGTTCTCTAACAATGGATGGATGAGCTAAGCACCCAGTTCCTTCCTCTTCACGAAGCCATTGTAAACCACACCCTATCCTCTATCAGTCAGCACCGTTTGCTTAAAAGTGTACAGTGATAAGCACAGCTAAGCCTGATGAATGGACTGTTTCTTAGAAGAGGAGATTACAGTCCCAGATTTCCTACATGACAGCAGTAGCTGCCTTGATTTCTCCCTAGCATGAGTATGTGACCAAACTTGTCCAACAGGCAGATGTTTTCATCGGAAACGTGATGAAGTTAGATAAAATAGTTCCCAGAAGCAATGGAAATGCAACCTTTTTTTTGCAGTTAATTGCTCAGTTACGTGGTTAGTAGAAAGATGCATTTTGTGCTGACATCTGCTGTGCAGCTTTGTCTGTCCATGCTCACGACGCTATTGCAGAAAAGGAAAACTCTTGTATGAGGTTGGGAGCATTTGCCTCATAGAGGCATTGTCTTGGAAGGGAATCTAGGAAGAATGAAGTAAAACAATAAGAAAAAGATCTTTCTGGCACAGTTGTTCATTTGTATTTACTTTTGCATTGTTAAGGGGAAACAGAGAAGACTGTTAAAATGCTATTATATTGTATGTTACCTCTCTGGGCTTATTACACAAGTTATACAATTGTTCCATGCAAAATGTAGCAGCACTGAAGTTTGAGATTATCAAGTACTCAGGAAGTAGATTAAGGCATAAAGCTTATCTTTCTACCTGCCTGCACTTAGTTCTTATAATATTATCTTTATATAACATAAAAATGATGAAATATAAACTGGAAATTCACACAAAGGCCTACAGTTATTTTAG